GCTTTCCAATCTTGAGAACCAACTGCATTTAACAGTTAAAATTTTCTGTTTGCATAAAAGTCTATGTATCTAAATTTTTTGTGACTCTGGGATAAATTTATTAAGGATCTTTTTCTGCATACTGTGGGTCTTTCACCCTCTGAACCTGGAGTGTCTTTACACAAAACTATTCTGTGACATCATGCATAACCAGTGCCATAGTTATTATTTTAGGTTGTACCTGAATCTTAATTACCTTTAGATTTCTGTAAGTAGAATGAACTAATTTCTCATGGTTAGTGTTAAAATGAGTTTTAGATAGAGCTGTGGAGGAGGAATTCAGGGTGACAGATGAATAAAATGTGAGTACTCATGTATTCAGCAGCATTTGTGGACTCTGCGTTCTTCTGAAGACCCTGAGAGTGTTTCAGGGACCAAGTACATTAAAACTTCCCACTTGTCACATAATTGAGTACCCACATGAAATGAGCATGGTTTGGGAGAGAGATCCAATAATTCTCCAGTTCCTAGACTGCAGTGGGGTCTGCAGTGACTTTATGTGAACTTGAGCAGTAAATAGTTGTAAACCTGCCTATCAGGAGACAACTGCAGCTCAGTGTTGTTTCACTGACCTCTTCTCTAGCCTCTTGTTCTTTACACCTGCCAGTTCAGGAGAGAATAAAGAGGTATTTCTGTGGGCTGGTTTGGTGACCGAATTGTGTTATAGGGCAAAATGGAAAAGATAATTACAATTGTCTGAACAACCCAGATTTCCAAGATTGCTAAATGTGGTTGATGTCCAGGATTAGTATGAGGATAAACAAGGAAATTTGGATGTATGTTCTGATGTTGGCAGTGTGGACTTTTCCTATATTTTGCCATCAGTCAGCATTAAATCATGCTAGAATATGGTAGCTGAGATGTCAGGGCAAACAGCTGTGAAATAGAACCATTATCTGAGAAGATTTCTGGGAATATTTCTGCTCAGTGTCAGTCTACGTAGAAAACGCAGAACAGAAGCATCTCTGCGCTTTACCCTCTCCAGCCTCTCATTTAAGCATTGATGTGAAAATACAGAAGTATATATTTTATTAGTTTTCTTCCAGTTGGATACAGTGCCTCTGATTCTAAGACAATTAGGGTTTTTTTCCTGCATGGAAAATGATTTAACATTTCTGCCTTCTGTCAGGAAGGAGGTTGGGTGCTGCTTCAGATTTTAAAATCCTGTGACCGCTCGCCACATACGTGTAGGTCTGATTTTTCTTGAAAAGTTAGTAGTTAATCCTGACTCAGTGAGACTGAGTCACCATCACTGCTTTGTGGGACAGAATGATTTGATTTGGGTGGGGGATTTCCAAGTACAGACCTAGCCCAGCCTTCATTAGGTTCTGAGGCTTGATAGGATCACAGCCCAGAGGAGTGAACCCTCAGGGTAGATTTGTATCCTCTCTCCTTAATTACGTGCTTGGGTAGGGTGGCAGGAGAACAAGCCTTTCTTGCAATGAGTAATTGGATGTTTTACAATCAATACCTTAGTTTATGTAATACCTGTAATCATATTTTAATGTATGTAAGTTTGCTGGTGGTTTAGCGAATGGATCATGTCTGTTTTGAACACAAGATCAAAGAGAATTTTTAAAACCCAATCTGACAACACCAAGCGTAAACAAATGGTTTCTCCCTCCCATGGAAGGAAAGTAAAATAAGGATTGAAGAACATGTACATTAATATGCACATTCATAGCATTTTTGATAGACTTGTATAAGGGAAAGTAATGAGTTGGGGGGGAAGCTGGGAAGGCCAGGGTGACAGGAGTTTGACATGAAACAGGTTCCTAAAGCAGCTGGGAATGTGGTGTACACTAAGTTTATGAAGGAAAAGCTGTTCTGATTGTGAGAGAAAGAGGAAGCGTTTCTGATTTGTCTGCAGAATAATTTCTAGGCAGCTGCAAAGTCTGCAGTTCTGCAGGGAGTCTCCCCATCTTAACGATGTCTCACTGGAAGTAAAACTTAGCAATTGTTGTGGCTTTCGTGGTAGTGTGCATGGCATATTATTGTTTACATAGGACCTAATTTAACTTTGGGTTGGCCTAGATACTAGCTAAACTCATCTGAAGTATTGTGATTAAAGATACATAATTTCAGAAGCTTCCCTGCATTTCATTTAGAGCATTTAGAAAGATTTTAGGTCTATTTGCTGCTTATAATAGTTTTCCATTATTGAACAATTCCCCTAGGTATGGAAGGGGCCCACTTTTTTCAGTTTTGTCCTGTGTTTGTTTTCATACCTTTTGTATGCCAAGACCTTAGCTAAAGGTTGTAGTTTTGGAAGATCCTTAGTTTTGTTACCTACATTCATGTACATCAGAGGTAAGTCAGCAAACAGCAAAATATGTGAAGTCTTTGTAAGCCACCTTCACCAACAGTTTGACTCACTGATTTAACCTTTATCTCTCATCTAGGTTAATGCTTCTTCTGTGTCACAGACTGCCACTGTCTTGAAGCAGGAGTTGTTGAGAGGTGCATGTGGGGAATATTTGTAATGGAGAGACAGAGAAACAGCTCTGGATAAATGAGATTCAAATGAATTTTAGATGATGAAGGAGGAAGAGCTTAGACAATGGATTATTTGTTCTTTTCAGGAAGGTGATACTTAGACTCTGCATAATTTGTCAAAAATACATTAATTTTCCTTTTCAGCATTTTTAAGTATGGAAGCATTTGTTTCATGTTAAGAAAGATCTTGTTTCCATTCTCTGCTAGTACAAAAACGTTTCAGAATCTCAACTTTTTTTTTCCAAAATGAAATTATTTTTTTTCATTGGTTATAGTTGTAAATAATTTTATTACATGTACAGGCCTCAGTGCTGTGAAATCATATTAATAAGACTTCAATTACATCGTAATTCTGTGGAGTTTTGCATTCCAGAATATACATTGACACTGGAGTGTATTCATATCTGACCACTTTCCCTACACTACAGTACAGATTCAGCTGATATTTGCTAGAATGTATTAGAAGTGAAATGGAAACAAACACAAGAGAGACCAAACAACAACAACAACAACAAAGGAGAGAACAGAGTTATTAGCTAATTGTAATAGTTTTGTGAAATTGTGAGCAGTATGTACATAAATAAATCTTTGTTGTCAAATAAGACTATTTGACAAGAGTATACCAAAACAGTGGTACTGAAAGTATCATTCTGATTTAGGTGAAGAAACATCCACCTCAGAGATTATACCAGAGTTAATAAAGTATAGCTTCTGAGAGGCGGGAGGGGAAATAGTTTAGCTGCTGGTTGATAAAAGTGTAGTAATGCTTCTTGTGTTGGCAAACCCAGAACAAGACACACTAACTCAAGCAGCTGTGTAAACTGGCTTCTTTTCTGGTAGAAATGAGGTAGTGTCTTGCAGGGCAATATAAGCTGAAGTTTTTATGCTGTATGATGCTACTCTATTGGAGTGCTGGTAAGTTTGGTGTGGGGGACAAGCACTGAACCATCAGATATCCTGTTTAGACCTGACTGAGGGAATCGTGCTGGTCCCCAGCTCCAGTATTATGGCTTCTGCTTCATTATGCATAATTGGATTTTGCAGAAAGGCAGTAAGTCTGGGGGAAAAGATGGGGGAGGGAGACTTGGGGAGAGCTCTAGTTTCTGCCTTCTTGTGCTTATAATGGGGAAAATGGCAATATATAATGGTAAAATGGGAATGGGGGTATATTTCTGGTTTTCTTGTGAATGTGTTTTTCCTCTATTTCATTTACTTATTATACTTTGCAGCTGTAGTTCTAGGCATTTTACATCCATACTGCCAACTATAGCAATTTTGAGTCAGTGTAAGTTTCTGCTGAACTACACATCTCCTTTGTTGCAGAAGTATATGCAGGGAAGCATACAAGTAAAAGATTTCTTAAAAGAAAAACAACTTTTTTTTTTTAACAGCTCTTTTCTATAAAGATGAAACTGCTCTTAAGTCTTCTGCCTCTCCTCCAACTCACATGCACAGCTTATCTGGTAGATTTTTGCTTCTACACGTGTATGCAGCTGCTTCAGAGCTAAGCGAGCTAAGCAGGAGTAGTATGGAATCAGTAGAATTCCAGACATTTCATAAAGGTTACAGGGAATGGCAGGAAGGGCTGTTGTTACTCTTCAAATGGAAATACCTCCCTCTCCAGATCAAGACCAGGCCATCAACACGTGGTTGTTTGCTTAGAGGAAGGTCCCCAAAACGTTGGGTCCCGTTGGGTGCACACACACTGAACAGAAGCAGAAGTGAATGACACCTCTGTGTGTTCTGTCTCCCAAATCATGCAGGGCAGGTAGCAATTTCACTTCACACTCAGTTACCACTCTTTTCCTACCCTAGAACGTGTTTTCTCATTTTCCCTTTGATAATTTTGAGAGGAGAAACATGTGGATGGATTCAGTGAAGTAGTCCCTATATGAATGAACTAAAGAATATAAAAAATTTAGAGAATTCCACAGGACATGAACTGGATTTTTATGTGAACTTTTTATTTTCCTGTCAATTTATGCTCAAGTGTGCTGAACAATCTGCATATCTCAATGACTTAGGAGGGGACAGTTGGCCTGTCTTCCATGTGGAACTGTAGTTCTAGATTTGCTCTAGATTGCACTGACAAGTAGAACTAACACACCACTGTTGAGAATTGAAACATATATTTCATTCCCAGAAATACTGAGAAGTGTCTGAAGTGTTTTAACAAATGTCTGAATAAATAAAAGAGCATAGTAAACATAATAGTATAAGGAGATCTGAAAGTAAAATTTTTATCATGTTTTTCTGACAGGTTTATGTTTCTAAAACTATTTTATCTGGAACCTAGAGATGAATAGGTTCTGTCTTCAAAAAGGTTACAATGCTACATTTTTTTTCAGGTTCATGATAATTTTATTTGTAATTATGTAGTAAAATTAACTGTATTCCTCAGAGGAATTGCTCATGGAAGTACACTGAAAAGTTTATATTCTGTTTCTTTGGTATGTTTCACATAGGAAAGAAGAGAAAAGAAACGAAAGCTGAGCAAAGAAATGGCAGAAAAAGCCACAAGGGAACTAGAAAAAATGCAGTTACAAGAAAAGGCTGAGGTAAAGTATAAAGAATGGTTAAAGAAGAAGAGAGATGAAGAGGCTGAAAAGAAGAAAAAAGAGAAGGTATTAATGAACTGATCATTTCTTTGGATGCAGTTACTTAATCTGTAACCTATATTAAATAAGTCGATATCAAATGGCAGTGTTGTACATGAAAAATAAACTTTGAAAAGTTGCAATGTTAGTGCATTGAAGACATTGTGGTATGTTCAGCAAAGCAAGATACACAGTAATGCATTTTTTTTTATAGCCTTTGAGCTTTTTTGTCAGAAACAGTGGAGTAAATATGGAGGTTGGGTTTTTTGAAATTTGTTCTCAGACTGAAAAGATTGCATCCTTTCTGTCATTGGGGAAATTGTGTTTGTAGTTGAAGACATTTGAAATATATTCATCAACCTGGAAATCTGTTTTAAAAAAAAATTGTTTACCATTTTGTGTATATTGTACACAAGCTTTGTCTATAAGTATCTTAGATTTTTTTTATTTATAGGAAAAAGAAAAAGAACGGGAAGCTGAGCTGCAGGAGAAGAAAACAAGATCGGAGAAAATCTTTAAGGAATGGCTACAAAATGCTAGAAATAAACCACACCCTGTTTTAAATGATTATAGTTTCCCACATGGGAAGTCCAAAGGTTTGTACTTCTAGTACACAAATATGTAGTGACTTAGATTTGTGGTTCCTTCCCTCTAATATTTTAATGTAAAATGAAGCCTGTTTGAGATACTTGTCCAACATCTAATTTTGTCACATAAGGATGATTACCTCATGTGGTATAACTCAGAGAAATATACTCTGAGACCTTTTGTGCACTTTTCTTAGCTTTTTTACCAGGCACAGGAATCACCAGAGCCAATCACTGGTTCCTGTGAAGCAAATCAGTTATATTATCCCTGGTAAAGGTGATGTTCGTGCCACAGAAGGCGTGTGCCAGCTTAGCACACAGGAATCCCCCTTAGAAAAAAGGTGGGGTTGTGAGGCACAAGAAGGCTGACAGAATTCCTGTCTGTGAAAGGAGACATGGGAATCAACCTGTAGTGAGCTACAATTTCCTTTCCATTTTGCTTTTCCCTTGCATTCCACCTCCTTGGCCTCTGTAATCCTGTTCCTTTTTTGTTTGAAAGCCAAGTGTGAAAGAGAATGCTGTTAATAGTGTGGTGTCTTACAAGTCTCACTATTTTTGGTGGCTTTTGTCATCCCACATGGTACAAAAGCAGAAGAGTAGCAAGAAGTGGTATTGCTTTACATGTTTGAGTGCTTTATTATATTTTAATTTATTATTTCTTTAAAAATAGATAAGTATGCTATTTCCTTTTTTTTTCTTTTTTGTACAATTAAAATATTTGCCTTTATTTGAATTCAAACCAGAAATAATGTTGGGACCAAAATTCTGAATGTTTAAACATGTATAAAGCCAGTGAACAACCTTTACTCTTTTGCATACATTTATTTATAGATAGTGATACACTTTGCCTTCATGTTTTGTTTTGGACCTTCATTACTTACTGCCAACTGCCATCATTTATTGAAATGATTTTTGAGAAATATTTCTCTACTCACTTGTGTTCATGCAACAGAATATATCACAGACTTTGACGTGTATCCATCATGTGGTCGGGTAAACAAAGTAGCCAATTCATAGACATTTACAGCTTTTAAGTATGCCAGTGACTGAGCATTCAACTTGCTTATTATTTTTAGCAAACATGAACAATACACCAGTTATTGGTAAAAAAAAAAAGGTGGAATATTTATTATCGTGAATAATTTAAAATTATGTGGTGTGCCTGTGCTGTCTTTCTCTGAAGATGCTGTTGTGTCTTTGTTAGTCCAGATGAATATTATAACTGCTTGTTTATTATTATAAAAGCTTGCAGTGTAAATATTCCTTTTTAGTTATGTGTATTTTCTAAATGTTTCAGGGATTGCTGACAGAAATTCATATCCAGCCCCAGCATATTGCAACCCCATTCCTTGGAAACCCATCCATGTTCCTCCCCCAAAGGAAGATGGTGTCCTTACCATGAAGAAGAATAAGAGACCTGTATCTTGTCAGCCACATGCATCTGCACCTATGGTAATTTCTAAGCCCAGGAGCAACCCTGGTATTGGATCCTTGTGCAGAAAGAAGTCATAATTCAGAAAAAAAGTGTTCTTATGATCTGGAGCAAACTGAGCCATAAATGTGAAATTCTATGTAGACATATGTCCAAAGCAGATTGCTTTGTGCTTTTTTTTTTCATTTTTGTGAATAGGTTTCAGCTAACTGACCAATCAGGTTTTTTATGTTTTTCTATGTTGCATTTTAGTAAAAAAGAAAAAAAAAAAGGGGAAAAGAAAAAGTCATCTTTAATCAATTGTAATGGGACTGTACTTAATACCAATAAAATGCACGGGATTGTTTCTTCCTTTCCTCTCTTGTTTTTGAAGGAGTTCTTCTGTTTATGTGATTATACTTTTGGGCAGCAGTGTAACTGGGTTATTTTAAAGATGCTGATTATAACTGATTTTAAAACAATTTTTGGCTTAATGCAGAAGGAATTCAAGGCCTGCATGCAGTTTCAGGGTTTATGTGTGCAGTTTTCAGTGTCACTGGGATTGCAGAGATGTAGTGGGATAGCTTCCATTTCTGGAGTGCTGCAATGAATGGATACAAATGCTGGTCCTCATATGTGCAAACCAGGGAGAACTGGTCAGGGATGTGAAGGCTGGGGCAGCCTTGCCTGCAGTGGCACACGTGAGTCTATGGGATCTGGCAGTGTGCACCTGAGAGTGCTGAGTGTAAGGGCACTCCCCAGAGATCATGGTGATCAGGGGAGGTTCCTGAGGACTAAAAGAAAGCAAATGTCAACCCTGTCTTCAGGGAGGGCAAGAAGGTGTGTCTGTACTACAGGCCACCTAGAAAGGTGATGGATGTGGGAAATGCAGCCAGCAGCGTCCCGGGCTGCAGGAGGAAGAGCACTGGCCAGCAAGTCAGGAGAAGCAATCCTTCCCCTGTACCATAAGTGTTGGTGACCACATTTGGAGTGCTATGTCCACTCCTGGGCACTCCAGTGAAAGAGTGACATGGACGTTCTGGAGCAAGGTCAGTGAAGGGCCACAAAGATGATTGAGGGATTGGAGCATCTGACAGACAGAAGCTGAGAGAGCTGGCACTGTTTAGCATGAAGGAGAGAAAGCTCAGTAGTGTCTGAGCAATGTCTGTGAATACCTGATGGGTGGAGACATGGAGCAGACCCATCCTAGTAGTGCCCAGTAAGAGAAGAGGAAGCAGTGAGTACAAAAATTAAAATACAGGAAATTCCATTTAAACACGAGGCAAAAAATTTTAAAGGGTGAGTCATTAAATGCTGGAACAGATTTCCCAGAGATATTGTGGAGTTTCATCCTTAGAGATATTCAGAACCTGACTGGACACAACCCTGAGAAACCCACTCTAGCTGGCCTTTATTTTGAACAAGGGAGTTGGACTAGACCATTTCCAGAGGTCCATTCCAATCTCAACAACTCTGTGATTAATGGTGAAAAGGAGAAAGCAGAAGGAAAGAAGACTGTTTTTCCTCTTATCATAGTTGTATCATTTTGGGAAATATCTTGTTCTTCTTTAAAAGTTACACTACTGAAAAGTATATTACATATTATAAAATTTATGTGTTAAATAAATCCACTAAGGCACATTCTGGCATGTAAGTATTCTATTAAATTGATTTTACTTCTAGTCTTAATAATATATTTTAATTTCCTCAGCGCAAGTTGTGAACAATACTAAGCCATCTCATGTCGAGTTTATACTTAATACATTCCTTGTACCATTACTTTGAGTGAATCAGTTTGTACAATATGCCTGTGTTTGTTCTTTCAGCATAGTGGCAAATGCTAACAAGACTGCAACACTGTGCAGTAGTTAGTGTTAATAGATTATTTGGTTTGTGTTTGTATTTTGACTTTCACAAAGTCTTAATTTTACTGTACACACTTAGGAGCAGTCTGGGCTCCGTAAAACACATGGAGTGTCAAACTGTGTTCCTGTTAGTTAGAAGCATGTGGGCTTCAGAGAAGAAGTCTGCACATTATCTTCAGGATCTAGAACTCTGTACCCCAGCTTTTTTTGTAAGGACCTCTGCAATAGATGGGTATGAACCTAGTAGATTAATAGATTAGTTGTTAATCTCTCCATCTGAACTTGCTATGTTGAGATGTCTAATCAGAGTCAGAAGTTTGACAGTGATGTAAGCTGTGAGAAGCTCGTGAGTGTTCAGGTGAAGGGACAGCATTTTACTGCAATGGAAATGATTAATTTTGGATTGGGACTGATTTAGTTGAAGAGTCATGTATTGGCATGTTAGTGTTTTCTCTGATAGTTTCTCTGAAATAACACATGGCCACCAGGAAAATGTGTTGACATAATTACCTGAGTGTATATTTGTGACTTCGTATTTGTTTTAGCATTTATTTGCTTGTAGTGAAATAAAATGACCTAGTAGACTTACAACCCCTAAAACAGGAGCTTTAAGATGAGGCCTTTGCTGTAGTCTATCCATAGCATTGTAAACGCAGTTCTGTCCCAACTAAACTATAAAAAAGGTTAAGGCAAGATAGCTCCTGTGTGTACGTACTGGCTCTGATTCAGTCCACATAATGGTTTTTCTGAAGAAGAGAAATAGTGTTTGGATTTTTTCCAACAAGGTATCAAACACACAATAAAATGGTCTGGCTGTGTGGCATAGTTTTAGGTTGTGTGCTATGGAAGGCTATAATGTCATGCTGTTGTGGCAACTAATTTACACCATTCTTTCTCAGATATTAGAAAGATAAAATCTTGACACTTTGTTGTAGCTTAAGCAGCATTCTGTTATTAAGGCCTCTCCTGAATTTCTCTGCTCACAAAATTTCACAGTAGATCAAGTTTCAGAGTCGCAAGTTACTCGCTGGAACCAATCCAAGATTTTACATCTCGGTGTTTATGCTGCTAAAATAACAGGAGACTTAACATCAGCTTTTTTTTCATCCCCGTGTTTTCGCAGAACTTCTGGTTGTAAGAATTCATAGGCCGCTTCCAAATGGTGACTGCTGCATCCTTCTAGGATTCACAACCTTTCCTCTTCTCCATCATAAATAGAGTGCCACATTCAGCTTCACTGTGAAGGATTACATCTCCTGTGAGCTTTTTCTGGGTTTGAAAATGACTGTGTAGGTGCTCTGTGAAGAAGCGTGTCTTTCCAGAAACTAACAGTGGATCTTCACACATGTATTTCAGGGTTGAAAGCCTACAAGCAGAAAACTGGATCAAAGGTCCTGGAAGAGCATACAAAGAGTAGGAGGTCACGATGATTGTAGTGAGCCTTGCATTCATGGGAAGTCTGGTTAGTGCAGCACAGTGCAGCTTCACTGTCCCAAGTTTTGTTACTGGTTCTGGTGTGGAGCCAAGGATTCACCTGAACCCGATAACTGCATCAGATTCTAACAATGTCCTTCCCAGTGTAGTGTTTGATTGTAAAATTAATTCCTTAATTTATCCTTTTGAAAGTCAGATTGAAGAACAGTCAGTAGTCCTGATGTGATTTTCACTTGTAGGTTTTTGTGAGTAAATATGGAAGATTTCAGCCTTCTTTTTCTGTTCAAAAGGTGGGTGTTCCCTGGGCAGCATCAGGGGCTGTGTTTAAATTCAATACCAGAAAGGAAATCTGATCACCCTGATCTAGTAAAGCATATAAACACATGGTTAACTTGAGATGTGCTAGGATAAGGAAGGGCTAAAGCAGTCACACCTTCTGGGATTTGAGGCCTCAGACCTAAGGCCTGTTCAGTTAGCAAAGCCTCCATTTGTAAGGTGATGTCCACGTTTTTTTACAAGTAACTCATTTTATAATGACAGACAATTCTCTAAAGTTGTAGTTAAGTGAGGTAAATTTTTGGAAAATGTGTAGACTTTTCCTTAATTATACAGACTGATGTATTTGCTTGGTCTGGCTTAGTGACTCAAACAGGGATTGCAAGTGTTTAATTCACAGGCAAATTTGAATTTACAGAAAGTTGGCAGGGTGAGTCATTTGGAAAGTGAAATTCTTGAAGGTCTTAAAACCAATTGAACTATGTTGTAGTGAGATGCAAGGGTACATTCAATTATGTTTCAATTATGTTAACAATGTTGTTACAAAGAACTCAGACTTTGGTTTGTTTTACTGAAGCTAAAACTGGAATTATTTCAGTATTATTAGCACTAAACAACAATAAATTCTTAATCCAGCTTGATAAATATCATAGTAAGTGCTTTTGTGTATAGGTCCTGTGGAAGATGGGTCTTTGACTTTTCCAGCTAATTCATTTAAACAATGTGAGGTTGTGTGTTTTGGGATTAAGGCAACAAGTTGTTAATAAGTGATCCAGCAATGCCAAAATGTTAATAGATGCTGGAATGTTTTCACTCTAACTTGAGTCTGACTAAAACAAAAAAAAACCACCCTACAAGTTTTGTTATACAATACCCCCCATGTGATTGTACAGGTATGAAATCCATAATATATAGGTCCTTTTTGGTGAGATGTTGATCAGGGTAAGAAGAAAGCTCTTCCATTTCCCTTTACATTGGCACATCTATTGTTAAATGACAGTTCCTGAAAGCCATGTACTGTGTCAGTACCTGTGAGGAAAGCAAGGTGACCATGGTATGCCTGAGTTCAAAGAGCCCTTCAAAGATACTGGTATAAATCCACACTTCAGCCTTTCCTAACAAAACTGTGATCAAGTTGTAGAGGATGGGTCCCAGGAACTCCTGTGCTGTTGTTGCTAATGCACTAGTTCAAAGGACTAACACCAGTGGCTTTATTTCCACTGTTCAGGAGTGATTTCTCTCTCTGTTAGGATATCTCTTCCAGCTGGGCAGAGCTCAGAGCACACTGAGTTACGCAGTGGCAGGTGTGTGAAAGGACATGTGAAGTTTGCAAAGACAGTTTCCATAGCAGATGTAAGTGCCAGGATACTGGACACGAAGATGAAAGGCTGATGGCAGCTGAGGCTGCAGCTGTGACTGGGCAGAACACGGTACCTGTGCTGCATCATTTATTTCTCGTACCATCAAAGTGTGTGCAGTGTGGAGCTGGAACGAGTGAGTTACTCTGCTCATCCAGCACTTTCTCCTATGCCACCTTATACACAGTTTGTCAGAGATGTACCAAAATTATCCCAAACCAAACGTGAATGACAACAGCTTGAAGTGCTCTCATCAGTAGAATCTAGACAGTGACATTTATTAAGCCAAGGGCCAAGGCTGCTGCACTGGTACAGGGCTGAACATTAAAGCCTTTGACTGGCACATGTTTGTAATGTTCCAGCCCATTGCAGCTGACATAAGCTGTATGAAACTTCCTTGTTTCCTTGTGCATACTTCAACCTCAGCCAGCTTTCCAGACCTT